GGATGTAGTGCGATTTTTTTTTTTCATTCATAAAAAACAAAGAAAAAGCAATAGGCACACAGCTAAATTTAGAATTTATTCTTGTACTAGGTCATTTTACAAGCATGCTTTTTAAACTATGGTTGCAGTGAGAAACCTGAGCTCCACTGAAGTCAGAAAGTTCTGTTATTCAGACATGTCCCTGCTTCCTCAGTTTTGACTCACCACATTGTTTTATGGGAAACCCTATACTGTACTACGTATGTACTCTTAGATAGTTTTAGTATTTCCTCTGGTAAGAACTCAGACAAAAGCCTTCTAATAAATAGATAAGGAGGGCATCCAAAAATACTTCTGAGTGCATCTGGCAGACAAGCTCTCTGCCAAGTGATTTTCACTCCACTTTTAGGGAAAGTAGCGCCTTGAAACACTGGCAGGATATTGCTGTTTTAAAACCAGATTTGTGTGTCCTAGCTCTTTAGGTGCCAGCTGAGGCGGTACTGAAAGGAGATCAGTCTGGACTGGTAGAATCAACTATTTAAAATCACCTCCAGCCATTACTCCCTCCTCTCCCTAGACCTCGGCTGAGTGGGCAGTGTCTCCTCTTCCTTCTTCTTTCCTACCAGAAATCTCTCACGCTCATTCTTGGGGCAGAGGCAAAGGAATTGTTTTTAACTTGATGCGTGCTCCTGGTCCCAGCCCTGGCCACGCTGCAGGCTCAGCTGGGCTCAGACTAGCTTCTTCAGGGCTGACCGCTGCTCTCTAATTCGGAAGAGAGCTCACAAAAAAGAGCTCTAAAATGAACCTGCCTTGTTAGTGCTTAGACCTGTTCCCACGCCTGCCCGTCCCCCTTAACCAGTTCCCTGGCAGCTCCCTCTCTCTTTCAGACCCTCACCTTACGCCAAGGTAGAGATGCAAAAAATCATGTAGAGATAAAAATGCAAAAATTTGGAATACCTATTAGCACTATCCTCTGGTTTCCTTGGACATGTAAAACCATCAAGATGAGAGTTAACTGTAACGTAATGAAGCACATAATGACTATCAAGCACGCACCGCACATATGGAACGGTAACAAAATAAATCTAGCAGCTCCCACATCCTTAGAGGAGGTCTGGAAATTCACACAACTGCAGACCATCTAACATGGCATTTCCATTGTGATTTACCTTGAAAACCACCAGTTTCCTAAGAGCGTGCATTAGGCAGACGATAACTAACTATATTTAACTTTGTGTTCTGTAAAATTCATTAGAACATGTAAAAGAAGAATTACAAAGCAAAGATAACTAAAGCAAAACTGGTACTTTATATGGATAACCCTTAGTACAGTACTTAGAAACACGAAGTAGTCAAGACTATGTCAATATTGCATCATACGGTCTAGACATACAGTCAAAAGGACTGCACGACTGGTTATTCACACGAGCAAATACTGCAGATTCATGTCCTAATCCCTTTTAAATCCCTAAACATACTTTTAGCCCTTTCCACTAAAACAGAGGAGAATACCTATTTCCTTATTAATAATGTAAACCGAAAAGGTCTAACATAAAAATAGGTTTAAAAAAAAAGCATCAGAGCTGTGTAAGGATTCTGGCTCTGAATTGTCTTTTAAGACCACATTGCTATTACTGCCTCTAAAGCGTACTGGGCTCTTTAGGCAGTCAGACTTACAGATTGCTTCTATCCTGGACAGCGAGACAATCCTTTCTAAACAGAAATTAACTTTATCCCAATCAATTGGGATGTATAAAGCACACATACGTGCAGGGTAGGGAATTGTGCTCGGCAGTGCCCGTGACAGACGGCTGGACCCTTGGATTGCGGCTTAGGATATGAGCAGTTGCTAAAAGCCTCAATGAAATTATACCCTTAGGTTAGGTGTCTGTTTTCCTGGTTTTCCTCTATGCCTATGAATTCTGACAGGATGAGTCATTTCCGTAAACCCCGCTTTTGCGGTTCACTATAACGCCCAGCCGGCTTGGGACGGCGGCGGAGCGAACCTTGGCCCTAGCAGGCGCCTGGCTCCTCGCGCCTTGCGGGGCCTGCTGCAGCTCCTGCCCCCGCTTCGCGCCTCAAGAGACGCCATTTTTTGGCCAAGACAATCACGTCCACGGTGCGGAAGGAAGAGGGTCACCCTTAACGTGTGCGTTTCGGGGAAAGACAACCAAACAGCCAGGTGTCCGCGGAGGGTCGGGGCGGGGGGGGCCTTACTCGTGCCCTCCTCACCGCGGAGGGGTATTTGAGCACGGAAACTGTCTTCTCACGCACCATCGTCTCCCTTCT